GTTCCCGATTCCCGCTATGATGAAATGCATTGCAAAAGGAGAAGGGCTTTTTATCAATTTAGAGTACAATCCAGAAAGAATAAATTGGATTTTGCAATAACTTTCTATCCTTAGCACATTCCAATAACTAAAAATAATTTCTGCCTCTATTTCTCTGCCCTCCATCCGATTTTGATTGCCTCACTATCAGCCCCTGCACAGCCATATGCCAAGATTTCCAAGCCACCTCTCACTTCAGCGGCCCTCCGATCTATCCTCGTTGTCAAATTCCCCTATCGTCATCACGTCCAACAAAGTGAACAGTGATGGCAAAGTTTCTCCTAATGTCAACATTCCGGCTAAACGTGACGCTAGCTTCATCAAAGGAAATATTGGAACCAGCTCCGAAATCAACACTATTAGTGACACCGTTGCAAATAATATAATCAAGGATAGCAGCCTTAATTATTGTAAAATTAGCAGCGATATTAGTGCCCTTTCCAGACCAGAGTTTATAGGCTCCGGAAGCATTTCCTCCTCTACCACCATGACCACTACGACTGCCGTCGAATTCTCCAAAGGCATTACCGAAACCAAAGCCAATTCCAGTCCTAATAATAGTTCAACTGACTCTCCGTCATATTCCTTTTCTTCTGACTCTTGTTGTCTTGTGTGGGATCCGAAAGGGATTTCCGAAAATAAGCTGCTTCCACATGATTTTTCCTCACACCCGATACATCTTTCACCAGTTCCTTCGCCAAGTATACCTGAGCCGACACGATCTACGTTAAAAGAACTATCCTCTTCAGTCTGTCTAGCCTCCTCACATTCGCCCTCCCTTTGTTCCTTCTCAGCAAACTGTGTTTTTTCAAACAGCGCACACATGGATGGGTACACAGGAAATGATGACCTTACCAGGCCAGTTAACAAACCATCATCTGCCATTTCCACTCATGTTAATAAACCGATCTCTCACTCCTTTGCATCTCACATGATGGAGGTTCACCGTTTACTGAGACCTATGGCTTCAACCAGCCAAACATCAGTCACTCTCCCTGATGAAGTAACAAAATGCTGTGCTATTTCACCCCATTCGGTATCCAATGCCAATGATGCGGTCTTGAACAACCAAGACGCTTTAAATGTTTTTTACGATGATCTAAACTCTCCAGCAGTGCATCAGTCAGTGGCTAATGCTGTAACCGAGGCTGCAGGAGATCCAAGAGGGTCACAAAATCCTGACTATCGAGGCGTCTTACCTCCAGTTTGTCTACCTTATGCTACTTTAGTCTCATCTAACTCGAAAGCTTCATCGGCACAAAAATATTTCAGTCCAAAATCCCAAATCGGTCAAAATGCTCCAGCCGCCGGACTGACATTGCCAAACCCTTCCTATAATGCTACTTCTGCTGTTGCTTCTTCCTCTTCACAACCTCCTCTTCATCCTTTGTCCTCCCCACAAATTCGGCCGACATCTCATATTCTTGTTTCCCGTAAGAAACCTTCTGTTGCAGCCCCAGGCCGGAAGAAAAATGGCCCTACCGCTGTTCATTTGATCATCCCCAGTTGGCGGCGTGCCAGTGACGGTGGATGCGTCAGCCAGCCAGCTAGTGGTCGGCGTTCTGTAAATGACCAGCAACCGCAGCAACAGCAGCTACCAGGCGATGGAAAACACAGCGAGCAGCTCATTAGGGTAGGCTGATCAATAAAAATGAGAAAACCTTATTGCTTATAATAACTTTATTTGAAACGTCTGTTTAACTGGCCCTCTAGCTCATTTTATACCGTATCAAAGAACCTTGAGAGATCATTCTTGACTATGGGTCTAAATTTCCTGACTTCCAACCTGATCTATCTTTTTTTCCTCATTTATAGACACTAAAGTGTCTGTGTGGACATTTGCGGGAGGTTTAAGCTATATTTATCGGAAACAAGATTTGCAGCCTGAGGCAAACATATCATTCTCACTTCCGAAGCTATATAAGTTACGCAGTATTGCCAAAGCACGACACCTGATACTCTGGAATATATGTTCTTTTAGAGTTATGGCTATAAACTCACTATACTCGATGCTTTGTGCAGCTAAGTAATTTCGTGGCAAAGGTGTTTTGGATTCCATACTCGACGAAAGACGCAAGGAGAGGGGAAAAAGAAGGCTGAGTGGATTGTGAGTTAAATGTTTATCTCAACCGAATGACAAAGTTACTAAATATATGCGAATAAAAGTTGGATTTCGAGGAATCTCTTTTATCACAATTGTTGAGCTTATTGCCATTTCGAGTGAAAGTGTTGGGTGAAGAGATTCGAAGGTCGGTTCCACCAAAAGACGTCGGTGAATTCCTCTTGACCAGCTGTCGATTGGCTTTACTGGAAGATTCACACTGACGCTGTTTCCGAGGTAATCTCTTTCGATTCCGGTGAAAAGTTGTAAGTTTTCGTCCGTCATATCACGAACATCATCAGATCAAGGTATCAGCGTCACAACAAAATTCAAGCTAACGAGTCAAGAAAGTAGCTAAAGCAGAAAATACCTAGAATACACAAAGTATTTCCGTTGTAAGAGAGAGGGTTCTTTGACTTATTTTGACCAATTAAGAACCAGGAGGGGATAAGTGATTTAATGTAAGTATCAGAGTACGTCGAAATATGCTTTGAGTAAACGAGTTGCTAATGCAATCGAGGGCATTCTAAACCGTGCATGCTAAATTAGTTGGGCTGCACCGTCTTAGCCGTGACTGTAGATTGGTGCAGATAGGTCCTCGGCCCACCGCCCTGCGACCCCGGTGAATCCTTGCTGTGCTCTCGTCCTTTATGTGAAGGACATCGTCAGCGCGAGGCACCAGTCTTTTAGATAATTCACCAAAACCCGAAGACAAGCAAGGTGGCAGGCTTTAAATCCGCCTACTTCTTA